CACCCAAACCCCCAACAGAACACGGTGAAAAGTGTCCAAGGAGGCCTTGTGTCTCATTGGGGTGCAGGGAGACACAAGGAGGCACAGGGAAATTTTCCTCCTCGCGCCTACTCAAAATAACCCCTCAGGGGATGAGAGGCAATTACAACCCCTGGTGAGCAGGTGAGCAGGTGAGCAGAGGGCTTGGGAGATGGGAGCCTGATAGGTGGAAGCAGAGAGCTTGGCTCAGGTCCCCAGGTGACCAGTGGAGGTGCTCCCGCCACAGGGGTAGCCTGGGAGGAAAGCATTTTCATCTTGCAATCTCCACTGGAAAAAGCGCTTGCCTCCAGCCAGCGACAGTGGCATGGTGGGGGCCAGTGGCTCTTACGCTGGCCAAGGGGAAACACGCCCTGCATATTACAAAGTGCTCCTGTGGCAGTGGGTTGGGTATCAGGCCCCTGCCATCGTACCCATACCCTGTGACAGAGCAGCAATCAGGCCTCTCCCAAGGGAGTGCATATCAGCCCCTCCTCTGCTAGCAACAACAGGTACCGAACCCTTTCAGTACATTTGACCAGCTTCATTCCCACCCTCATTTACAGATTCTAGGGCCCATTGTCTTCCTTTAACCAGCAAGCCAAATGACACTGGCCTGTATTATTTCCCATTGTGAGTTAGAGGAAGACAATTCCTACAGAGGGGAGGAAAATGACTCTAAGTCGGCCTGGAAAAGAAGGCAGAGGATGACCAAGGGTGCAGGGAAATTTTACTAAAAGCCTGGAGGGTCTCCTGAAAGATCCTCAATTCAGCACAGGCAGGGGGCAGGGCCCATAAATTCTCTCTGCCCTGAGGAATGTCCCAATTAGACAAGAAAAGCCACAAATACCTTTAAATCTACTCTAGAATTCCAAAATTTCAACCAACACAGAAATATCACAGAGCAAATCAAAGTCCCTAGTACACAAACATAGACAGAAATTTTTGTTAGTTAGGCGGGCCGATTCCACCTCTGACAGAGAGCAAGCACCCCTTGGGAAAAGAACCCAGCGGCCACTCGGGGGTGTTTTGCTATCGGTCAGAGCATTCAGCCTTAAATCAAACTTTTTTTTTTCTCGCAGACTTCCACACTTACATGAACAAATAATTATACCTAAGTAGACATACAAACATCAAATAAACATCTACACTTACACCCTTTCAGTGAACAAGTACTTTTACAGTCTTGGGATCTTGAGCAGATAACAGGAACACTGCCCAAGTCCCCTGATGGGGGCCTGACAGGAACAGATGTGGGGGCCTCCCTTTCCCACATCCCAGGACAGGATTCTCGATCCATGTCTCATCCAGATAGAAACAGTACTCATACTGAACAAAGAAAACAAGACTAAATAGACACGACAACTAGACAAATGCCTCAGCACACAACATAGGGGAATTTTCTGGGAGCTAGGTCTGCCTCAGGCGGCTCTGGCCAATAGTGGCTGGGGGGTTTGGATGGCCTTGCCAGCTTCTTCTCGCCTGCTCCTGCCCTGCCTGCCTCTTCACTCCTGCTACTAATCCTTACTCTGTCCCTTCTTACACACGCAGGACCAGACCCCCCAATGAGTTTTATAGCAAAAATATAAATAAAGGAATTCTGGAAGTAATATAGAAAGTAGGTCAGAATGGCCCTGGCCAGGTAGTTCGGTTAGTTGGAGCGTCAGCCTAATGGGCCAGGGTTGTGGGTTCAATCCTTGGTGAGGGCACATACAAGGAGCAACCAAACCAGTGAGTGCATGGATGGGGAGAGCAGCAGAACGATGTTTCTCTCTCTCCCTTCCTCTCTCTCTTTAAAGAAGTCAATTAAAAAGAAAGCCCTGGCAGGTGTTGCTCTGTGGTTAAGTATCAACCTATGAAGCAGGAAATCACAGTTCAATTTCCAGTCAGGGCACATCATTGATGTTTCTGTCTCTCTCCCTCTCCCTTCCTTTCTGAAATCAATAGAAAATATTTTTAAAAAAGAATAATGGGAAGATTCTGAGCCTATGCATAGTAGTTCTTATGCAGGAGGGCACATCAGAATCCTCTGAGGCACTCTTTAAAAGTTTTTACCAGTCTCAACCCAAATTATTAACACCAAATCTATCATGGAATTATGATTAAGTATAGGTTGAAAAGATAGGCTCAGATTTAGACGCAAAGCAACAGGTTTTGATAACTGAATGGATATGGGGGTAGAATGTAGAATCAAAGATACTGGCCAAATTTCTAGTTTAGGTGACTGGAGGGTGATGGTGCTAGTAACTGAGGAAGGAAACATTGGAAGATAGCTTGTCTTTTAAAAACATATATGTTTTATGTGCAGTTGCAGATATCATTGCCTAAATACTTGTACAGGATTGTTTGACTTTGTATGTTTTCCATTTCTCCAGCTTAATCTGGTAATATACTTTTCAGCCTCTCAACATAAAAAAAAATCAATTGTATTTCTGTGTACTAGCAAAGAAAAATTTGAAAATGAAAATAAAAAACAAATTCAATTACAAAAAGCTTCCCCCCAAAAAACAACAAAATACTTAGGAAAAAACTTAACAAAAAGAAATACAAGCCCTAACCGGTTTGGCTCAGTGGATCAAGTGTCGGCCTGTGGATTCAAGGGTCCCAGGTTTGATTCCGGTCAAGGGCATGTACCTTGGTTGCAGGCACATCCCCAGTAGAAGGTGTGCAGGAGGCAGCTGATCGATGTTTCTCTCCCATCGATGTTTCTAACTCTCTATCCCTCTCCCTCTCTGTAAAAAATCAATAAAATATATTTTTTAAAAAAGAAAAAAGAAATACAAGACACTTGTACACTTGAAAACAACAGTGTACTCCTTATGCTATACTTAACATCTGTGATTATTTTGTAATTGCCAATTTGTACTTTGTAGTAAATATATAAGCTTCATATAAGGGATATAAACTCATCTTTCAATATTAAGTTCACTGGTTTTTTGTATATTAAAAGAAAGGGAGTGGTTGCCAGAAGCTTAAGGAAATGGGTAAAGGGAAATTACTATT